ACCTCACCTCCACCAGGACTGTTTAATTAATCACACAGTCTGTCCCCTACTCCAGCTCTCCCTCCATCTAAACCTAACGCTCATGGCAGAGCCCTGAATACAGACTTGGGGTGGCGGTGGTGGTCACTGAACCCCTTTATCTGTCTCTCTCCCCAGTATTGATACATCGGCTAAATCCACTCTTTCTGCATTTTACCATTTGTCTTCTCTTTAATCAGAGAATTGGGACAAGTGACCCGTCTAGTCCCTTGGTTGGATCTCACAGCTGGAGACTTTGCCCTGAACCCTGTAACAAGATGTCAACAACCAACCAGTGGAGCGGCAGGCAGCCGCTAAGCCATCAGTCGGAAGGGTAGGACAAGTAAGCCACAGGTCCTGGGAGGAAGGAGCTGAAGTTACCAGCAAGGCTGAAGTTACCACGAGGCTGGGGACAGAATGAAAACTGCTACAAGAGGAGGAACACGCAGCGTGCGTGACCTCTGTGACACTCCTGTTCCTGTCCCGAGGGTCCTCTTAGATCCTGTGTCTTATAGAAGTTCCTGGCTTCTAGGTCCCTTCTGACAGGTTTCTTGTTTCCTGTCTTGTGACAACAGCCTTTGCACCTAAGGACCTTTGGGGCTTGTACCGTCTCCTCCTTTGCCCCAGGAGAATGGAAAAGCCCACGAGCTTCAGTGACAAATGGACTCGTCAGGCAGACAGATGATAGGTAGGTAGCAAAGTAGACAGATGACAGTGGACAGATAGACAGGACAGATACTTTATCTTGAGATGTAATCTTGCTACGTGTCACCTGATAGCCTTGAACCCTCCCTCCTCCTGCCTCTGCCCGAGTGCTAAGCAAGTGTGTGCCACCTTCTCCTGAGAGCTAATCTTTTCACAGGCAACCCAGTCAATCCCAAGCCCTCCCCTGATGCTGTCTTTATCTAATCCTTACACATCAAGTTAATAACCTCCTGATGTAGAGCTTCCTCGGCCAGATATGAGGCAGGCTGACTAAAACTTGATAACTTAGGATGACCTTGAACTTCTGATCCTCCTGCCTCCGCCTCTCTGGTGCTGGGATTGCAGATGTGAGCTACCAGACTTGGTGTACATGGTGTGGGGATTAAACCCAGAGCCTCATGTGTGCAAAGATCTACCAGTTGAGCTACAAACCCAGACCCATCCCTGGAATTCCAATGGAGCCATGAAGCCTGTCAAGAGGAAATCTGTGGCAATGAGGTGACACAGGCCAGCAGTCTCAGCGACTGGGAGGTTGAAACAGGAGGATTGAAAGATTGAAGCTAGCCTGGGCTCTGTAGTGAGTTCTGGAGCAGCCTGGGCTACATATAGAGACCCTGTATCAAGCAACAAAACAAGTATTTGCATCACCCGTACGTACCCAGAGTAACATTGCATCAAGCACTGAGACGCTCAGTGAGCCATATACAAGAGGCACACACTGTCCTTGCCTTTGTTCAGGAGCAGCGACCAATATCAACCCCAGGTACCGGGAATCCTGGAGGAGACCCTGTGACCCTCCTTCAGCGCTGAGGATGCTGGGCACACTGTTGTCACTCCTCAGCTGGAGAGGGAGAGAACGTGTATCCAGGCTGTCTACCTCAGCACACACAGACTTCCCCAGCCCCCCGCCTGAAAAGGTATTTAGTTCGCCTTTTACAACGTGCCAATTGCAAGTTAATTGTCTGGCAATTGAAAGTTATAGGCAGCATTAGAATTTATTAATAACATTGGGAGTAAATCTCCCTGGGAATTCAATTAATTGAAAACCTTGTGAAATCCTCCATAAAGCAGGTCTGTGAGAGCGTGGCGGTTGGAACTGCAGGTGCTGGCTCCCCGCGGGGTGGGGAGGGGCTTGGGGTCTGACTGAGGCTGCTTCCAGACGCTTTGGTGTCTCTCTCTGCCCCCTGCCCTTGCGCTGCCTTAAGGGGTCTGGACAGGAGGTCGCCAGGCCCTGTCACACAGGCATCAGTCACCTGACACAGTGTGCGGCACCCAGGTAGGCTGGGGCGCTGGCGACAGGGAAGTGTTCCTGCACCTGGACATTCACAGTTGCACACCAGAGGCTGAGCTATGGGGTGACTTTTGGATTCAGTGAGTCATAGGTTTGGCTAGGGGACCCTGGCTGGGGCCCAGTGCTGGAGTGTTCCTACCTCTACCCCTCATGGTTTGGGGGACAGCTGAGAAGAGGGCGTACAGGTGAGACCACTCAGGGACAGAAGTCCCAAGCATTTGCAGTGGGAGGAGGCTACGGATGGACAGGTGGGGTTCTGGGTTGTGGGACAAGAAACCAAGAAACTGTATCCAGGCCATAAGGCTGGGCCCCTGGTAGCTCTGCCTACCGGAGACCCCTGAGCCTCTCACTGTGCATGCGTGAGTGGGTGCGTGTGTGTGTGTGTGCATGCGTGTGTGTGTGTGTGCATATGTAAGGGGATGGAGAAAAGGAGAGGAAGGGAGGGAGGAAGAATGTGTGCTTTAGCCAGGTGGCAGTGGAGCACACCTTTAATCCCAGCACTCAGGAGGCAGAGGCAGGCGGATCTCTGAGTTTGAGACCAGCCTGGTCTACAGAGTGAGTTCCAGGACAGCCAAGGCTACACAGGGAAATCCTGTCTCAAAAGACCAAAACATAAAAACCCATATGCTTCGGTGGCTCTTGGCCTGGGTAAAGGAACCCAAGAGTGTGACAATTCTCCATTCTCCAGCTCCCTGCTCCCTGTCAACATTTGGCTTCAAACACATGCTCTCCCCCAGGGCCTCCAGTACTGAGTGATCATGGGCCAGTTGGGTCCAGGACCATGTGTGAGAGCAGAATCACACACCCGCTGGGCCTGGGAGCAGGACTCCTGCCTAGGGGGGAAGCCACATATCCACCACCCTGCGAAGACAGGTGAAGTCCCCATCTGTCTGTCTCCTGGTCCCTCTTCTCCCAGACTACGGAAGTGGCCCAGAGTCTCTGCTTTCTACATCACCTGGATATTTGATGTGCATCTTCTCTACTGGATTTGAACTCTGGGCGGATGTCAACTCTGGTTCGGAGAGGACCACGAACACAGTAAGCACCTGGCGGCACCAACGTCTACAGTGGTCCACAGCCGCTCTGAACTCCACCCTGATCTAGGGGCCTTGCTTCTTGAGTACTTGGGTTTCTCTGGAGTTCTAGGGAGAAATTAATTTATTGCTGAACCATGCCTGGACAGGAGCGGGAGACAGGGTTGGGGGGTCTGGAGTGTCTGGGTACGATGTGAGTCATCTCTTAAACCCTAACCAGAGTAACTCAGAGCAAACCACCTTTCAGCTGTACCCAGAGTCCCACAAAAAAACAAGCCATCTCTCCCTTGACTAGACACCACCTGCCGAGACCAGCAGACTCCTTGAAAGGGCAAAAACAGACTCTGTATTAATGCTTAGCACTCCTAGAGTCTGGGTTTTTATATTATCATTATTACTTACTACTACTGTGTGTGTGCAATGTATTTAGGGTGCATGATGGGCGTCACATTGCGCAGGTGGGAGTCAAAGCTGTCAAAGGACAACACTGTGGAGTTGGTTCTCTCCCTTCACCTTTACGTGGGTCGCAGGGATGGAACTCAGGTCTCTGGGCTTGTGCAGAAGGCCTTCTCTCACCAGCCCCTCCCCCACCCCAGTCTGGTTAGTTGTGCCTTTCGCTGTCCGCTGTCCCAGCCTGCGGTCACCTCTACCGCTCTGACTCTACGTGTATCCCACGCTCTCGAGCTTGTAGGGATCCTGCTGCCACTCGGAGCCCTGTGAAATCAGAGCACGGTGGGCGGGAGCATGATTGACGCCTACGAAGGAGGAAATGGAGCTGTCTGTATTTTCCCCTTCATGAACTCATCAAATGCGTCAAGATAAGCGTGTCTGAATCATTCTTTAGGCTGTTGAGCTGTCCCCGTTGGGAAGTAGGCATTAATTATACCCCTCCCCCAAGCCGCACAACACCTGACATCCCTCAGTTTAACTCTCTGCAGGGGGAAATCTGTGAGTTCAAAGCCAGTCTGGTCTACACAGTGAGATTCTGGTCAGCCAGGTCTTCATGGTGAAATCCTGTCTCAGCAAACAAAAACAAAGCAGAAGCTCTCTGCCTTGCAGGGCTGGAGGCCCAGCTCAGTTCAAATTCAGCCTTGCAACCGCTCCTTGTTAAAATTATTTGTTTTTATGTGTGTGTGCACATGTGTGTCTGAGTGTGTGTGCACATGTGTGTCTGAGTGTGTGCGCACATGTGTGTCTGAGTGTGCGCGCACAGGTATGTGTCTGAGTGTGTGCACATGTGTGTCTGAGTGTGTGTGCACATGTGTGTCTGAGTGTGTGTGCACATGTGTGTCTGAGTGTGCACGCACACGTATGTGTCTGAGTGTGTGTGCACATGTGTGTCTGAGTGTGTGCACATGTGTGTCTGAATGTGTGTGCACATGTGTGTCTGAGTGTGTGTGCACACATGTGTGTCTGAGTGTGTGCGTGCACACATGTGTGTGGAAAACTGCAGAGGCCAGAAGCTACCCTGAAGCTGCAGTTCCAGATGGTTGTGAGCTGCCCAGCATGGATGCCACACATGGACCTTGGATCCTCTTGCAAGAACAGAAAGCCTTCTGAACTGCTGAGCCATCTCTCCAGCCCCATCTTAAGACATAGATGTATGTATGTATTCATCTGTGTGGAGGAGTGCACACGGATAGGTCAGAGGACAACGTGCAGAAGTTGGTTCTCTCCTGCTGCATGGGTACCCGGGGATTGCACTCAAGTCAACGGGCTTGGTGGCAATTGATGTCACCTACCAAGTCATCGCAACTGCTCGGAGCAGCCGCTTTTGAGGGGTACCTTCCCCCTTCTGGCTGCTTCTTGCTTTCCCCGGCCTCAGAAACCCTCAAGTAACCCCGAAGCTGGACACAGGGGCTCACCAGTTCTCTGGCAGGAATCAGCCAGGTGCAGGTCCAGCCCCTGCCCACCCACCCACCCACACACACACAGCTGCCGAGTCACAGAAGGACCACAGCGGGAGAGCACCTTTATTTGAAATAGCGTCACAGGTCTCAGATCACCTCTTGGTAGAGACAGCCAGGAACAGTCAACAGGGCCCAGGGGTCAAGGCCACAGCCTTGTATAAGCACCGAGAGCTTTGGGGATGGTCACTGTGCCAGGCAGGGAGATGTACCCGAGGGTGGTACCAGGCCTTTCTGCTGTCTGAGTAAGGGTTGTGGCCTGCTGGGAGGATCAGCGGGGTAGGCGGGTCATAAGAGGCTAAGCACCAGCCAGAGAGGCCTTCAGAACTGTGGATGGGCTCTGCTGCGGACCCCAGCCCCATGGCGTGGGGGGCATGGCCTCCAGCAAGTTTGATTCTGTCAAGGGGACATGGACTTGGTTGTCCCACCAAAGCTGAAGGCTCTAGAGATTTCCACGAGGAAGCTGTAGGTCCTACCCTGGAAGGACAGTCCCATTAAATGCTCCCTTCTTCTCCAGGGCGGAGCACGGATGAGGGCCAGTGGGCTCCGCAAGGCTGGGAGACAGGAGGGAGCACTGCCAATCAGATTCAAAGCCTTCCTTCTCTCATCCCCAAAGACCCTACCTCATGGTCCCCAAGTCCCATGTGGAAGCTCCCCCTGCCCCCAGCCCTAGGAAGAGACCAGAGGAAGAGGGGCATGTTCAAAGTCCTGTAGTGTTCCTGTGTCTTCTCAGGCGGCCCTGCCTTCCAGCGGCCTGGCTGCCTCTGATCCACACACCTCATGGAGAGGGGAGGAAACGGCAAGGCTGGTGAGTCATGGCTTCAGCAGCAGCGAGGCCTGGGTTCAAATACCACACCCGTCCTCCCCGACACGCTGTCCCCGGGATGAACGGGGATCACAGACCTAACTCTTAAGGGTTAAATGAGACGATACAGGAAACCACCCTAGCTGGCCCAGCCCACCCAGACCCTGTCTCCAGCCGGGAGTGGGCGTGGGGACAGAGCCAAAGGAAGGTTCCATCAGGGTGCTCTGGGCAAGGGGCACCATCTGTCCCCAAGGACCCCAGGCTCCCACTGTCTTTCACAACCGTCCCCGCCCGATGCCCAGCCCCACATGGGGCGTCTTCAGGATGCAGCCGCTGTTGAGCCCCAGGGCTGGGCTTGTTCTGGGCAGAGGGACTCCTACTTCCCGTCGCCAGCCTGGGCTGGGCTCTTGTGTGCAGGGTCGGGGCCCAGCAGGGCAGCCAGGATGCCGTCAGGCTGAGGGCCTCCACGCTTCATCTTCAGACTGGCTCTCAGGGCCGCGTCCTGCCCAGAGCCTCCTTCAGGGGAGGCCAGGGGATCTGGAAGGAGGGAGGAAGGGGGGTGCTCAAGACAGCCTCAGTGAACCCGACGGCCTCTGCTCCCAGAGCCCGGGCATGTCCAGTGAGAGGAGGCGAGTAGGCTCTGCCCTTCATTCATTCACTAAAACATTCATTCATTCACTAAAGCACTGACTTGTTCATTCAGCAGCACACACATTCATTAACCTATTCATTTGGTCACCATTCACACATACAGGTCCCCATTCAGTTCCCCCATTCATTCATCTTCTTTTCCATTCATTCATTCATTCACCCATGTAGTCAAGCCACCATTCATTTTCCCTTCTTTCATTTGTTCATTCCTGGTGTATTCTGTCACCCCTACTCGTCCCCCATTCATTCATTCATTCATTCCCTTATTCATCATCCATCTGCTTACCCGTTCATTCATTCATTCATCCATTCATTCATCTGTGCACCCGCCCACTCCTCCTTTAGTCAATGCCAAGAGGCCTGAGCTCCAGACCCCGCAGGGCGGCCGGGTGGGGGCACTGGGACCCGCCTGAGCAGGGAGGCGGCCTGGCTTGTCTGGGTGTGGCCGGCCACGCCTGTGATACCCGGGGCTTTGATACTGAGTGTCCTTGAGGGACAGACTCAGCGGAGCTTGCGGTGGGCCGCCCGACGACAACGTGGTGGGGTCCCTGAAGCAGGGGACTCACAGCCTTAGCAGTCCCGGCGAGGCCACTGGGTCGTGGGAAAGCGGGAGGCCTAGCCGCTACTCACCGTGGACCCCAATCATGTGTTCCAGGATGAGGACCCTCTCTGCCAGGATCTTCAGGGCCTCCCGAAGCTGCTGCACACCCTCACCCTGGTATGGACGAAACGCCAAGTTCAGGGTCTCGGTCAGGCTGGGGTGGGACAGGCGCATGCGCAGACGCAGTGAACAAGCCTCACAGCCCCGCCTCTTCTGCAAAGTCCACGCCGCTACAAACAGACATCAGCGCCGAGCACTGGCAAAGTACCGGGCTCGTGCTCCAAACTGGGTTCGCCAGTGGGCAGCTCAAAACCCAGTCAGCCAGCATCCCCACACTTGTATATCACAGACCTGATGGGCTCAAACCTAAGGGGTTCTCCTGCCATGGTCCTCCAAGGGCTCCTTCCCAGCATGCCGGAGCCACCGTTGCCGGCATTTGGTTTTTATCCATCCCCCCACCCCAGCCTCCCAAGGTCTCAGGTCCCCCATGCTGGGCTGAGGACAGCCTTGAACTTCACGCGTGCTGAACTCTACCAACTGAGCCGCATTCCCAGCCCTGCTTTTCCAGCTTCCCCGGAGAACCCCAACACCCTGGTCCCCGTTCCTCACCCTCCAAGCTCTTGCCCCAGCTCTCACTTACCCGCCACGTCTTTTCCTGTTCCCATCCTCCCCCACTAGGACTTGAGGCTGCAGCCCCTTCCTCCAGCCACCATGTCAGCGAGGCGGCTGCTCTGTGTAGCCCGAGGCTTGGTAAGGGGCAGCGTCTTCTCCATAGGGCTGTGGTCCCCCACCAGCCACTCCTGAGAGTGCTCCTCCCGCCCCAGACCCCAGGGTCAGTCGCCCCAGCTGTGGCTTGCCCACAGTTGCAAAAGTATCCACGCCGCCACCGTGGTGAGCTGGGAACTCCTTGAGGACAACGAGGGACTCTGTCCTCAGCAGCCAGCACCCAGCTCAGGGCTGGCCCGGGGGTGCCCAGCACAGGATGCTGTACACTGGGAAGATGTGTTGCTCTCATTGGGTTAACAAAGAGCCAGCTGGCCAATAGCGGCAGGAGGAGGTTAGCGGGGAGAGCCAGACTGGGAGAACACAGGGATGAAGAGGGATGGAGTCATGAGGAGGTGTGGGGAGAAGAAAGATGAACATGCCAGGCTGAAAAAAGGTACTGCCACATGGTAGAGCGTAGATAAGAAATATGGGTTAATTTAAGCTGGTGTGTAACAAGCCTAAGCTACCGAGCAAGCATTTATAACTAACGAGTCTCTGCGAGGTCGTTTGGGAGCTGGCTGCTGGGACAGGAGGCGTTGCCAACATGCACAGTTACCTCCGCAGTGGTGGCTTTGTCCTGGTCCTCTCCCTTCACAGCAGGCTCACCCTAGGAAGCAAGTCTCACGGTAAGATTTTGGGTGGGTACAAGGGTACCTCTCCACCCACGGGGACGCGCAGAGACTGAAGGCGGATGGTCTGGGGCGGGACGAGGGAGGGGGGGAGGGAGGGCGGGCATACACCAGGACATTGCTTGTGCAGCCTATCATAGAGAGGTGTGTAGGTCACCGTAAGAAGTGCTTCTGGGCCGGGCGTTGGTGGCGCACGCCTTTAATCCCAGCACTCGGGAGGCAGAGGCAGGTGGATCTCTGTGAGTTCGAGGCCAGCCTGGTCTACAAAGTGAGTTCCAGGACAGCCTCCAAAACAAGACAGAGAAACCCTGTCTCGAAAAAACAAAGAAAGACTTGGGGAACTCAGGCATCAGCTCTTGTGAGTGTTCACTAAGTTGTCTTCATCTCTGGGCTCTGTTTCTCTGTCTGGTCAGCGAGGTCAGCCTCATAGCATAGCACGAACACGGCCAATGGATGTTTTGTGACTTAAGACGGCTGCTTAACCTCTCTGTGCCTCCATTGCTCGCCTCTGAAAGGTGATTAGAAACACCGATCTCACTCCTACAAAGGGGATGGGGCACATTAACCTTGAGCAGGAGCTTAAACTAGCCTGGGTTCTGGAAGTGTTGTCAAAGCTAGCGCCGTCATTTTTACTAGACAGAGGCTCAGGAGGAGGCAAGCTTTGGAGGTTGACACTCCTGAGTTCAAAATGCCAGCTCTACTATTGTGTGTGTGTGTGGAAATTATTTAATCTCGGTGAGCCTCAGCTTCCGGTTCTGATAAATCAGTCTAATAAAGCATAGTCTGGACAGGAGATAGTGAGGTCTAAATACATGACCAGGGCTGTCCCCACTGTATCAGCACACAGTGGGTATTCAGCAGAGATCCATCCTCCACCCCTGACCCCGATATCAGGCTTGAACATGAAGTGTTGGCTTCTTTGGTCTTGGAGACTAGGGCCGAGATCCATAAATTCTTGTGTAAGAGAAGGGTCATGGGGGCCAGATGTCTGAGCATCAGACTCTGAGAGGTTGGGAGGACCGAAGAGACCGTCCTGGCCATACAGATTATGAGTATATGGCCCCAGTTTTAGCTCATTTTCTCTCTTGCCACACTCCCAGGCAAGGGTCCCAGGTGACCTTCAGGTCACCCCTTTTCTGTTGGGGCAGCACAGGCTGTACCTGGTTCCTGCCTTCCAGTCCTTCTCCTGGTTGGGTTAGACAAGCCCGTGTTTGAGGACACCACGGGGCTGAGCACAGGCGTGGCTCCCAATTTCCCAGTGCCCAGCCCACTGGCTCAGCCCACACTTACAGATGACCTTGCCACAACCGGCTACCCACCAGTCCCTGGAAGGAAAAAGGCCAGTGGGGCTCTCCTGCCTTTGATGCTTTCTGCCTCTGGCCTCACCTATTCTGGGTCCCAGCAGAAGAGGAAACTGGAAGTTCAAACTTGGGACCTGACTGGGTCTGTAATGCCACCCACAGCGGAAGTCCGATACTGAGCCTTGGGCAAGACTTTGGTCTAATCTCTTGCACAGTGGAGCAATGCCAAGCACGGGTGTCATGCAGGAGGCTTAGCACTTGGATGGAAAAACCTACAAGTGACTGAGGCAGGAGACAGTTTTATATGTGCTGATCCAGGCAGGGTTTATACGCGCTAAGCCCAGGGCTTACACAGGCAGCGGCTATCTCCTGCTCACAAAGCAATCCTCAAACTGTCACCAAAGTGGGGTCCTAGCCCCTGCGCTTGTACAGTGAGCCAGGTGACCTTCTAGAAATGCAAACAATAGCGTGACAGATTACTCCCAACTAAATCAGTGACATCTGTACGACACAAACCTTCTCGGAGGTCCACAGACAAGACCCAGACGTCTTACCTAGTCTCACACCCCACTCTCCTTTCTCCAGCAGCCTTGACCTGCGTCAGGGAATCGGCCCCCACTCCCCTGTCTCTAAACGGATGGACCACATTGCTGGTCAGGCAGAGCAATCCTAGAGCTTTGGACTTCCCAGTCAGGCTTAGGACCTTGCTTCCTCTCCAGCAGGTGATCCCCAGGGAGGAAACAGGGGTTCAGGTATCACTGGGTGACTTGCTGAGAATGTCTACGTGGCTTCCAGAAAAATCTAAGCTTTCTGTGGCTCAGCTTATCAAAAAAGTGGGAGTGGTAGCAACTGAGACACCGCAAACCTCCCCTTATACTACTCTAGAAATGGCCGCGTCCTTACCTGGGATCCAGGTGCTCCTGGAGGTCCTGGGGGACCTGTGGGTAGAGTCACTGATGAACAATTGAGGCCAGAAAAGCTCACTGCTCCCCGTCAGACCTGAACAGGGGCATTTCCAGCATCCTGACCTTGCCTGGGTCTTGCCCCACTGGCGCAAATGAAAGTCCGATGAATGAATATCATAGAAGACTCAGACTCTCCGGATCCTCAGATCTCTGAGGCCCACCTCCATCCACCTCCCATTCCTAATCCACATGGTCACCCCAACCCTGAGACATGGAGCCTGAGCAGGGAGCGAATCCACAATGTCCCAGCCCAGCCTGTCAGTCTCCTGCCAACCTGGAAACCTAGAACCAGGCACTCTGACACCCCCCATCATCTCAGGCACTCTGACACCCCCATCCATTTCAGGCACTCTGACACCCCCCATCCATTTGCCTTGGTTACTATGATCACCTACCATGCCCATCCAAATCACACATTTGAAACACTCTATTGGGGTCTCTGAAAGCTCCCCCCCGTTCAGGACAGACTTAATTGTTAACTTGATAGTCTAGAGTCATCTGAGAGGAGATTGCCCAGATTACAATGATGTGTGGGCATGTCTAAGAGGTTGTCCTGATTGTTAATTGATGCAGGAGAGCCAGGCCCACTGTGAGTAGCACCATCCCCTAGGTAGGTGGCCCTGGCAGCCTAAACCTGTGAGTGAGCCCAACAATTAGGATTCCTCCATGGCTGTGGCCTCGGGTTCCATCCCGGCTTCCCTCGACGGCAGACTGTGACCTGCAAGCTGAAATAGACCTCGTCCTCTCCTAAGCTGCTTTAGGTTGTGGCGTTTGTCATAGCAACTGCATAGAAACTACAACACACCCAAGTCCCCAGTCAGGCCCTCCTCATCCTCATCCCACAGATACCTACTTCTGGAAAGTTCCACCGTTGCTGTTTCTTCCCACCAATTGACGAGCAAACTCCCTATTATCCCTTCCTGGTTCTCCTAGGCAGCACTGGCCCATATATCTTGGATGCGGGCCAGCCCCTGTTCATGGCCATCGTGGGTTCCACACCTGTTTCCCCCCGCAGCCCGGGGATGCCTAGAGGACCAGGCTTCCAACCCACTTCCCTGCACAGACTCGCACTCCCCAAGCCTCGTGCTCCAGTGACCACTCTCAGGAGTAGACATCGCAGGCCTCAGTCGAGTTATAACACAAGCGCTGTCCCTGTATCCCAAGCATGCCGCCCTTAGGACCCTGTGAATCTGCTGCCTCTCGTCTCTGAAATACAACCTTCTGTGTGAACCCCATGTATCTCCTTCCCAGGTCTGTCGTCGCCATGGCTCTCTTCCATTCCACAGAAGAGCATGGAGGGGACATAGATCCTTGTGCACGCTAAGCAGCGACCCTACCACTGAGCCACACCTCCATCCCCTCACTGAGCCATAGCCCCTGTCCCCAGAGGTGAGCAGTAAGCCAGTGGCCACCTGCGTGGCTTGTCTGTTCACTTACGGAATCCTTGGGGCACGACCCACGTGTCTGTGTGCACTCAGAGGGTCTGTGAAGGATGGGGAATACCCAGTCTCTCTCTTCCCGTAGTGAGCTCGTTTCTGCTGTCTACTGTGTACGCATGTCACGCGCCAAGGTCCTCAGTGCCCCGTGTTGCCTTGTCTGCCCTGGGCTCGCATGGACCCTGGTACACCCACAGACAACATGGGACCACTTCAGACACCTGTCCTGCTCTAGTAGACTTGTTCAGGACTGATGCGTCCAGTTGTCTGGGCGGCCGTGGTGGTGGGGAGGGCAGAACCAACTGAGACCACAGACTGCCCACCTGGAGACCACAGACTGCCCACCTGGAGACCACAGACCGCCCACCTGGAGACCACAGACCGCCCACCTGGAGACCACAGACCGCCCACCTGGAGACCACAGACCGCCCACCTGGAGACCACAGACCGCCCACCTGGAGACCACAGACCGCCCACCTGGAGACCACAGACCGCCCACCTGGAGACCACAGACCGCCCACCTGGAGACCACAGACTGCCCACCTGGAGACCACAGACTGCCCAGCTGGCCTTCAGTTTCCCAAGACCCTAGGTAAAGTGCGTGACAGGGTGGTCTTAGCATTGCATAAACCAGGTGTAGTGGGGTACTCTGCAATCCCAGAACTTGGGGGCTGGAGGCAGGAGGATCAGAAGTCAAGGTTATCCTCAGCCACATAGTGAATGGGAAGCCATCCTGGTCTACATGCTACCCTGCCTCAACAAATGAATGAATGAATGAATAAGTAAATAAATAAAGTAGGAAAATAAGAAGAAATCTTCAATCCACTCACCAGGGGGACCAGGGGGACCCCGGGGACCTGGGACACCAGTTAGCACTGTGTCAACCACAGCAGGGTTCAGCTGGGTGTCTCCACCTGCAGAGAGAGTCACATGATCAGTAATCAGGTGGGGTGGAGGTGGCCGTCTGGAGGCTGAGTCTGAGGGGCCAGCGGGCTCCCCAGAGCCGAGTCCAGCACCCCACCCTGTGTGTGGACGGACAGACTGCATTTACTGCTCAGAAGCAGTCAGGATAAGGAGTGGGGAGGTGGGTCACGGGCTAGAGTACTCGTCACACAAACATGAAGACCCGAGTTTGAATCCCCAGCACCCACATACATGTTGGGAGAGGTAGCGCCTTCCTGCAAGCCCAACTCTGGGGCCTGGAAACCCCGGGCTCGAGGCCACCCAATCAGCGTGCTCCACGTTCAGTGGGAGACCCTGACTCAAATGAGGCAGAGAGCAACAGCAGAAGACACACAGGTCAGCTCTGGCCTTTACATACACAGGCACACACTGCACACACACGCGCTCGCGCGCACACACACACATAGCTTGCACACACATGCTCTCACACTCGTGCACAAACATGTCCATGCATACACACATGCACATCAGGGTGGATCCCGTTGGGCTCCTCATGGCTTAGGGTCTATTTCAGTGGCCGTTAAGGTCACTGCCCACTCCTCAGCACCATCTGCCTTCTCCCTAACGGGGGACATCCCTACAAAGAAGCCCAGGCTACAGATGAAGTCAGAGCTGGCTGCTGCCACACCCAGTACCTTCTGAAGGCACCTAGACTCCCATCCTGCCTTAGGGACAAGCCCACTTCTTACTACAAGCACTCAGGGGCCATGCGTTTCAGTCTCCAGAGTGGTTCCCTTAGGGAACACGGCCACCTGTTATCAGTGCCAAGGTGAGGTTTGTGTTATGTGTATGTGTTGTGTGTGTGTTGTGTGTGTGTGTTATGTGTGTGCATGGTGTGTGTGTTGTGTGTGTATGTGTTGTGTGTGTGTTGTGTGTGTGTGTTGTGTGTATGTGTTGTGTATGTGTTGTGTGTGTGTTATGTGTGTGCATGGTGTGTGTGTTGTGTGTGTTGTGTGTGTATGTGTTGTGTGTGTGTTGTGTGTGTGTTGTGTATGTGTTGTGTGTGTGTTATGTGTGTGCATGGTGTGTGTGTTGTGTGTGTGTTATGTGTGTGCATGGTGTGTGTGTTGTGTGTGTGTTGTGTGTGTTGTGTGTGTATGTGTTGTGTGTGTGTTGTGTGTGTGTGTTGTGTGTGTGTTGTGTATGTGTTGTGTGTGTGTTATGTGTGTGCATGGTGTGTGTGTTGTGTGTGTGTTGTGTGTGTTGTGTGTGTATGTGTTGTGTGTGTGTGTTGTGTGTGTGTTGTGTGTGTGTTGTGTGTGTGTTGTGTGTGTGTGTTATGTGTGTGCATGGTGTGTGTTGTGTGTGTGTTGTGTGTGTGGTGTATGTGTGTGTGTTGTGTGTGTGTTGTGTGTGTTGTGTATGTGTTGTGTGTGTGGTGTATGTGTATGTGTTGTGTGTGTGTGTTGTGTGTGTGTTGTGTGACTGTGTGTGTGTGTTGTGTGTGTGTGTTGTGTGTGTGTGTTGTGTGTGTGTGTTGTGTGTGTGTGTTGTGTGTGTGTTGTGTGTGTGTGTTGTGTGTGTGTTGTGTATGTGTTGTGTGTGTGTATGTTGTGTGACTGTGTGTGTGTGTTGTGTGTGTGTGGTGTATGTGTGTGTGTGTTGTGTGTGTGTGTTGTGTGTGTGGTGTGTGTGTGTTGTGTGTGTGTGTGGTGTATGTGTGTGTGTGAGTGTGTGGTTAGCAGCGGTCTCCCCTACTCCATTCCCATAACTGCTAACAAGAGCTCCACACCCATACTGTCAGTCACATCACCTACCCATCCTCTTCTTAAAGATTTTATTATGGGGCTGGCAAGATGGCTCAGAGGGTAAAGGCACTTGCCACCAAGCCTGATGACCAGAGTTTGATCCCCAGAACCTGCCTGGTAGAGGAGAAAACTGACTTCCACAGGTTGTCCTCTGATCTCTACATATGAACTATGGTATGTCCCTACTGACAAACAAATAAATGAATATAATAAATTTACTTTAGTTTACTCCTCTTCTTTTGATGCAACTGTTTATTTATTTATGTGGTATTGGAGACTGAACCCCAAGCCTCGTGTATACTACATAGGTGATACTACATAGGTGCTCTACCACTGAACTACACCCCAGCTCCTCACTGGGGGATTATAGGCAGGTGCTCTACGACTGAGTCACACCCCAGCTCCTCACTGGGGGATTCTAGGCAGGTGCTCTACCACTGAGCCACACCCCAGCTCCTCACTGGGGGATTCTAGGCAGGTGCTCTACCACTGAGCCACACCCCAGCTCCTCACTGGGGGATTCTAGGCAGGTGCTCTACCACTGAGCCACACCCCAGCCCCTCACTGGGGAATTCGAGGCAGATGCTCTACCACTGAGCCACACACCAGCTCCTCACTGGGGGATTCTAGGCAGGAGCTCTACTACTGAGCCATGTGCCCCAGCCCTAATTTTTAAAAAGACTCTTTGATTTTCTTCTTATGAGACAGCTATGTAGCTCAGACAGACCTTGAGTTTGCTATGTATCCCAGACTGACTTAAAGCTAGCATTGATTCTCCTACTTCAGCTTCCTGAGAGCTTGGGTATAGGTTTGCAATACTGTGCTCAGCTCCTCCAAGTTTTAAAAATAACCCCGGGGCTAGGGTTAGAGGTTAGGGTTAGGGTTGGGGCTATGGTTAGGGTTAGGTCACTTAGCCAAAACTGCCCCTCCTTTCAGAGTCAGGGTTCCCCTCCCTTGGTCCCTGAGACCCAGGATCCTTGACCCCCATGCCCTGTGTCTTCACAGAGCAGGTATTTTTTGTACTTTGTGGCTCACGGCCATGCTGTGGTCCCTGAGACCACGTAGGTCTATTGTGTCACTTTTTGTGCTCAGTAAACACCTGCTGAGCGTCTTACAGTGAGGAGATCTGGAAGGAAATGTGACAAGGAGTGACTTTGGTGGGACTGCCTTGCCAGCTAACAGAAGTGACCGTGTGTGGAGGTGGGCTGTGTCAGACACGGCAAGCCGGGCCTTGAGGCCGAGAGCAGGGTTGGAGACCATCGCCATTTTCTCAGGGGACCCTCCTTCAGGTCCACACCTCGTTTCCTGGCCGATACTTACCTCTGGTGGGCTCTCGGCTTCTCTGGGATCCCTAGGGGAAAGCTAGTCCTCCCCGCTCCCAGACAGCTAGGCCCACCCAGGCCGTCCCATCCCTGGCACTCACTCTCCTTGTCTGTGGGCGGCTGTAGGGAATAGAGGACGCCCTGGGCACTGTTTGGCAAGAGGCTGGGACTGCCTGCTGGCCCAGGAGGGCCTGGGGGACCAGGGCGTCCCATTTCTCCAGGAAGTCCACGTGGTCCCGGTGGCCCCAAAAGACCTACAATGGAGAGCAAAGGAATAGTGAGACTGAGAGCAGTGATGTTACAGATGGGGAAACTGAGGCCAGGGAGGGAGGGGACTGGCCAGGGGCATTTGGGAACTCAGTGATGGGCAACTGGACCCATGGAGGGTTTAGTGATTACACCTGGCAGGTTAAACCAGGGGGCTTCCCTTTCCTGGTGTAATACAGAGGGGCCTCGGGGACATCAGAGGGTGGACATGACAGCATTAGAGGAAGCAGAATCAGACTCAGGAGGCGCCGAGCGCTGGAGCGAGGACTGAGGGTGGGCCAGTCCTGGGTGGGGCTTGGTGCTCTGCTGAAGCAGGGGATCCTGGGGTTCCTGGATGGTGTCTCGGGTGCTTGGAACAAAGCCCTGGGCCTTAGCAGCCCCACCCTACCCCACCCCACCCCAAAGGTCCCTGTAGACCCTTGTCCTGCAGCATCCCTGAGACGATAAACTACTTCTCTCCTCTCACCCTCCTCCCCTCCCCAGTCTCAGGGATGCTGCAGGGCAAGGGTCTACACCCGTGCTCAGGCACAAAGGAAACCACGGTCTCCTCAACCAGGGGACAAGAGTTCCTTACCTGGAGGTCCCACTGGGCCCTTTTCTCCTGTCTGGCCCCGGTCGCCTTTGGAACCTGGAGGCCCTGCAGGCCCTGGTGGTCCCATCTGTCCTGGAGGCCCTGGGGGAGAGAATAAGGGGAGTATACTGTGGAATCGGGTGCCATGGAGGCTCCAATTCTGGTCACACAGACTGTGTGCTCAGACGAGTTGTTGGCAAGTGCTCTACCACTGAGCCACACCCCAACCCCTCACTGGGGGATTCTAGGCAGGGGCTCTACCACTGAGCCACACCCCAGCCCCTCACTGGGGGATTCTAACTGGGGGATTCTAGGCAGGTGTCTTATCACTGAGCCACGCCCCCAGCCACCCGGGTGTACAGGCCATTAGAGTTGACAAGCTGTCTTTCCCTTCTGTAGTCCCAATAACTGTGTTTGTTCTCCCCTTTTACGAACACATGGGTACAATGAGCAGCAGGAGGCACGGACTCCCGCTCCCGCCGCAGAGTCAGGCTGCAGCTTGTTTTCTCACTTCAAATCCTCTCTTCCCGCGGTCTTCTTGCTTAAGGTCCCGGCCGTGTGGCAGCTGGGCCCAAGCTCAGGTCCACAGGGTCGGTTCTCCCCCCTTGAACCACTCTCCTCTCGAAATGTTCTAGAGGCCTGAGAGCAACCATGGCGTGGGCCCAGTTATCCCCAGCGCTGAAGACGCCGAGGCAGGAGGATCAAAGTCTCAAGGATAGTGGAACTTAGCCTCACAGTTAAGTCAACTGAGGGCTGCGCATGAAGCTTGCCATTTAAGTGGCGTGTGACCCTGGCATGTGAGGAAGAGTTGGACTCGGGGAGGGGGCCGGGGTGCGGGGGTGGGGTGGGGTCTGTTCTGAAAAGTGTCTCTTGCTAGGGAATTCCACAGGTCAGGGAGGCAGGAAACCCCGGAGTCACCATTGGTGGGGTGTTTCTGCCACCTGCTGGCCATTGCCGGAACTACACTTTCTCTGATAAAGTTCCAGCCAAGAGCATCAATGAGTTTTGAAGCAACCCAAGAAGCAGGTTGGAGCCTGTGTCCTTGGGGACACGGGGTAAAGGCCTGGGTTTCTCCTGGAGAGGAGAGGGGGGGAGCAAATCGTGTACGCAGGCTCTTGTGGGGCTATGAGTCACCAGCAAACGGGGTGACCCAACTTCTCGGAGCTTGATACCTCTGTAACTCTGCTGTTCACACTTTGACAAAGGTTGGAAATGACACTTGGCCAGGCATGGCTGCTGCTGTGACACCAGCACAGTGGAGTGGCAAAGACAAGAGCATCGTGGGGGCTTCTGGGCCTCCAGCCTAGATCCGGGTTCAGTGAGAGACCCTGTCTCAGGGGAATAAGGTGGGGAGTGACACAGGACACCTGATGTCCCACGGGCACACAGAGACACACACACAGACACACACACACACATAGACACACACACAGAGACACACACAGACACACACATATACACACAGACAGACACACAGACACACACATATACACACAGACAGACACACAGACACACACACAGACACACACAGAGACACACACAGACAGACACACACAGAGACACACACAGACAGACACACACGCACAGAGACACACACACAGACACACACACACAGACACACACACACAGACACACACACACCACCACAGTAAACAGCCTGCAGCCAGCATGAGCTAGGTGTCCTAGTTAACTTTTAATTGTCAACTTGACACAGCCTTGCGTCACCTGACAAGCCAGTGACCATTGCCTGCAGCGTGTGTGTGTGGGGGGGAGGGGGGTTGTCTTGATGGTTAACTGTTTAGGGGCCCCAGCGCACTGTGAGGCCGCGCTCTCCCAAGGCAGGGGCCCTGGTCTGTCTGTGAAAGCTGGGGAAACATGAGCCGGAGTGAGCCGGCAAGAGAAAGTTCCTTCATCGCTTCACGTCCTGACTTCCGGCAGATCTGTAAGGGAAGCAGACCCTTACACACCCTAAGCTGCCTTTATGTCAGAGCAGCTCATCCAGGGGCAGGAACACTGGGACAAGCAGGCGCTGACAACCGCAACTGTGAGGCTCAATGGCAGTCCGGCTGCAAAGCCTGGGCCTCCAGGGAGAGTCCATAGAAAGGACATTTTATTTCAGCTCTTGACAAGGAGCCAGGGATGGTGACCCGGGCCTAGAATTCCAGAAGGCTGAAGCAGGAGGACTAGGAGTTTGACAACAGGGCTTAGAATGGATCTACAGGGCTCCATGTGTCTTAGAAGCAGCTGAATGCTTCCAGATCTTTCTTCTTTCTTTTTGTTTATTGCCATCCTGGGGGATGGACTCCGGACCTCACACATAGTGAGTATGTGCTCTACCTCTGAGCCACACCCCAGCCCCTCACTGGGGGATTCTAGGCAGGAGCTCTACCACTAAGCCATGCCCCAGCCCCTCACTGGGGGATTCTAGGAAAGAGCTCTACCACTAAGCCATGCCCCTAGCCCTTTTTATACTTTCTGAGACATAGGGCAGTGTTTTGCTAAGTTGCCCAGGCTGGTCTTAAATTCACTCCATGGCTCAGGCAGACCTTAGACTTAAAATCCTCGGGTTTTAGCCTCCCAGGTACCTAGGACCACAGACCTATGCCCTCAGTCCTGGCCAGATCTTTCGCTGTTCTAAAGAAGAATGTGGAATTCTGATGTTATGCTTAATCAACTGTTTTTTAGTAATTAGTTCAAGTTTCAACACACCACATGAGCAAAGTAGACCCAGGAGGCCAGGGTGTGGCCTGTGGAGGCCCCAGGCACCCACTCTGACCTCATTGCCTGGCTGGATCCCTCCTCCCCTGGGGGCCCTGCTCACCAGCTGGGCCTGTGGGCCTTCTCCTTCGGGGCCCTGGATGAGCAATGGGGATGGCATCTGGCAGGAAGTCCTCATTCCAGGTTGGAGGGGTGCTCTGTGGGGGTGGCAGGTCATTCTCTGGGCCCGAGGGCTGCTCAGCTGCTTCTAGCAAGAGGACCTAGCCAGAGAGGGGAGGGAGGTCAGGCCCTGGCCAGCAAGGA